TATCGCGTGGCAAAGTATTTTATAAAACTTTCTTCGAACCGGGTGTCATACTTGCCTTCCTTAACTCGAAAAGTAATAACTCAAAAATCTATATTGTAGGGAGTGAAATGATAAATTGAAACCTTGAAATCATCCAAGAAAAAAAATTTATTTCCACCGTTTTCCGAGGATAGCGTGAAAAAGGTTTGGTCTTGTACGAGAGGGCTGAAAGAGGAGAGCCGGGAGGGATGACAGGAGCATAAAAGCTTCGGGAATAGATTGGTTGGCAAATAAGTGAAAGGGTAATGGGTGAAATCCGAGGGTGAGAAGGAAGGCACTAAAGTTGCCGTAAAAAGTTATAAAATTGTGTATGTGATAGTTGGTCATAGCTTTTGTTGAGAAAAGAGTAAGAGTGAGAATGAGGGGTAAAAAGGTATGAGAGAGTGAGATAGAGAATCGATAGATGCTGACAATATTATATATAGGTATAGATATATATTTGCTGAGCAATGAGTAGAGCTTTCTCTGCCTCGAGGGTTACCATGACAACCTCAATATATTCCCGGGATAACTGCGTAGTTTTTAGTTTGAGGCAACGTTAGCAGGATTTATATATTAAATTGTTAAATTATTTTTTTTTTTATTCATTCAATTGATTTTTACACCGCAGATTAATTGCTTTTGTTGGGTTTAATTATTGAATTGTATAGATGAAAAAATTTAAAATTCATGATTTTAAGATTTTTTGTCAGAACTATTGATAATTTACCTCTTAGTATATTTAAATTATTATTACTAGAAGTTTATATCCAATAGTGAAATGATCCATGACTATTCTATAAAAATATTTTTACTCGCATTTTCAAATTTACCGCTTTTTTTTACTTTGTGTGTTAGGTACCCAAGCGGCACAAAAATTTTTTTGGTAATATTTTGTTGAATTTAAATTGGCAATTATTATTTTTTGACTTTATTGTTAAATAAAATTTACCAAAAAGTCAACAGTTTTATGTGACGCTTGGGTAGTAACAATAATGTAAAGTTAAATTTTAAATTTTAAAATTAATATGTTTCGATACTAAATATATAACTTCAACTCAACTATGATTATGATATTATAAGATATATGATTCACTTATATAGAGCCATTAATTCTGCATTAGTGCAATTAGTTTATAAAACCCAGAATCAGTTTGAAATTGAAACATGAGAATCGTAAGTTCGATTCCTAGCTTGTGCAAAAATTTTATATCCCTTGTATTTCTTCCTCGCAAAAAAAGTTTGTGGAAAAAGTGATTAATGTTTTAACTCGAAACGAAACTTTAGATGACATAATCTTAAATTGTGACATCGGTTTCTTGATCTAAATTTTTAGAGCTTTAAAAAACTAAGAACTTGAGATTCATGTAGGAAAACGTTTACGGAAAAAAGTGGTGTAAAAATCGCATCAAGTTATACAAAATTGTACCGTCTGTGGTGTTAACTAAGTTGATTAAGAATTTGCATCACTTTAGTGATATAAAATCTGTATCTAATGTATTTTTACATGGAACTAATTTTATTTTAATGCAAATTTGAAATCATTTAGACAGATTAAATATTTTCGACGAAATCTAAAATAACTTGACTTAATACAGAGATAAATTCACGAAGAAAAATTGTAATACAGTAAAATATTTTGCGTTATTGCATCATTAAATTTGGTATTAAAAATGTTTGTGTTAAATATTTAACACTTTTATGTGTAAATTTAATCCTTTTTTGTATTAATTCTCCTAAAACACAAATTTTTTTGATGCAATGGCGCAAAATTTTTTACTTTAGTACTTTGTACTATATATAATTCTACTGCGTCGAGCGTTGAACAATGTAGTTGTTAAAGGACGTGCCGCAATCCGACGTCACAAGCCTATCAGAATATTTATTTCGTACATACGTATCGAATATTATTATTCCTTCACCATGGTTTCTAATTTTTAAATATAAAATTTTAGTTTTTCTTTCCAGCTATTCATTCATTATTAAATTAAACATTTAGATACAAAATTACAATCTAATTCACTAGAAATATTGTAGATATAATCAAAATAAATTTAAGAATAGTCATCAGTTATAAGCATGTTAATAACAAATTTAATAATAATTTTAGCATGAATAGTTTTATATATTTAGATAAATATATTAGACTAATAAATTATCTAAGATCTGTAAATATAACGTATTTAAATAGTCAATAGATTAGACAGTTTTTTATATAAATATATAATTAATTAAGTACTAGTATTAGTTTCTTCCTATAACTATCTCTCTCTCTCTCTCTCTCTTTCTCTCTCTCACTCTCTCTCTCCCCTATTCTAGATATTTGACATATATTTAATCCTTGAACTTATTTTTTAATTGTATATAATTGAAATTTAGAGTCTCGACGCCGCAGTGACGAATAAATTATTTGGAAATCGATATATTCAAATTAGTCTTTATCAATTAAAATTTATTATTATATGGAGATTAATTCGTGTCTCATAATAGGGTAATGTATAATCGTGAACAATTGATGAAACTAGTGATCGTAAGCAATCGGTGAGTTTTGGAACTGCTCGATAGTCATCGCATTTTTTTGTACATTATTAATCATAAAAAAAAATGACACATTCGGCCATACCCGAAATGGAAGGTAGATTTCATAGAATGAATTATCGTCTTGTATCAATAACTTTCGTTTGACATGGATAGGTTGTATTACACATTGCCTGAAAATGGTTCAATTGAACTCTTAACTTTGATAAAATAACTAAAAATGGTCAAAATGTCAATGTTATATATGTCAAATTAAAGGCAATTTCATGAGCTTTTACATGAATTCATCAAAAATTAGCCATCTCTTTTCAACCAAAAGTTACACATTAATGAAGTCACCAAAAACGTGATTTTCACTATTTTGATAATTTTGAAGAGCTGCCATTTCTAAACTTATCGATGGATTTCGCTCATCTTCGAACTCATTCAAGGTTATTATCCAAAGAATATGTGTAACAAATTTCATCTAGATCCGTCAAGAACTGTAGACACAATCGCGGCAACATCCCGCGTTATATTACATATATATATATATATATATATAAATCTTTATTGCGTTTAACAGGATTCAATCCTCAATACAAATTATTCCATAATTAAATAAATAAAAGTTACTATATATATATACATATTAAAAAACTTTCGGAGAATTATATATACATATATATACATATGTAAATTTTTTAACTAACGTTATTTTTGAGCTTTACTCGACTAGTTAAGTGATATTACAACAAAATTCCGAGTAAATTCCGACATGAGGACCAATGCAAAAGATTGATTTCTATGAAATCTACCTAAAAAGTAATGCACTTTTTTGGAGCTAAGGTAGAATAAATTACCTTAATGTATCGAATTACCGCACAAAGTACTTTGACGAATTCTAATTTGGCGAACATTTCTCATCTAAATAAATAAAAATTTGATTAAATATCCGTCGTGCTAAAAAATAAATTAAGAATTAGACGTTCAAATTTCGGCGACGTCAGATGAAAAAACGCTTAATTTTTTAAATAAAATAATTATCGGCCACTTGAATACTTTTAAATCAAATCATCTATATATTATTCGATTATTTTCGATAACTTTCTGCAGTGAAATCGAATTATCTACCGAATAATAAAAAGCCGTCAATTTATTTTTATAAATGAAAAATAATTATACAATAAATATAATTATGTAATCATTTTATTGTAACTATAAATCTTGAAAATATTTTGAAATTACGGAGGTTCATCAATTAAGCTACTTAAAAATCGGATTATAACCTATACGAAGAGAAAAGTATTGTCAAATAACTATCCAACGTAACTTCGAATGACGTTTCTTCAAAATAATAATGAGTTTATCTAATTTAAAGATTCATTTGAATAACTCAAACATACAGCGAATAGCTTTTGTAAATATTTTGTTATAGACAATAACTTATTTTTCGCGAAGACAGCGCCAGATTCAAACGCGTCGCCAAAAGACTGAAGTGTCAAAACTCTTACGCGAGAGGTTAGAGTTCGATTCTCAGCGCAAACGAACGAATATTTTTTTTTTTTTTTTTTTTTTTTTTTTTTTTAAAAA